CTGTCCGGCGGGTCCAAAATGGCCGCCGGAACAGCCGAAAGGGGCCGGGGCGCAGCGTTTTCGCGCCCTTGGTAAGCAAGGGGAGCGCGCGAAAACGCTGCCGGAAGCCCCGAAATGGTTGCGAGCAGCTTACCGACCTTCGCTCTGCGATTTTTGCCCATAGGGGCCATCGTTGTGCGATCGCTTTAGCGATCGCAAGAGTGTCACCGTAGAGCGAATTCATCGCTCTACGGTGCGCTCGTTGTGCGAGGCACCACTGTATATGGAGGCAGTGACAGATGTTACTTTCCTGGGCTCCATGATCACTGCAGATGGTGACAGCAGCCCTGAAATTAAAAGACGACTTCTTCTTGGAGGGAAAGCAATGACAAATCTCGACAGCATCTTAAAAAGCAGAGACATCACCTTGCCGACAAAAGTCCGAATAGTCAAAGCTATGGTTTTTTCTGTAGTGATGTGTGGAAGTGAGAGCTGGACCATAAAGAAAGCTGACCGCCGAAGAATTGATGCTTTTGAATTGTGGTGCTGGAGGAGACTCTTGAGAGTCCCCTGGACTGCAAGGAGAACAAACCTATCCATTGTAAAGGAAATCAATCCTGAGTGCTCACTGGAAAGACAGATCCTGAAGCTGAGGCTCCAATACTTTGGCCATCTCATGAGAAGAGAAGACTCCCTGGAAAAGACCCTGATGTTGGGAAAGTGTGAAAGCAAGAGGAGAAGGGGATGACAAAGGATGAGATGGTTGGACAGTGTCACCGAAGTGACCAACATGGATCTGACTGAACTCTGGGAGGCAGTGGAAGACAAGAGGGCCTGGCGTGCTCTGGTCCATAGGGTCACAAAGAGTCAGACATGACTAAACAACAACAACCCCAACTTCAGTTGAATCACACAAAACCAAGTTACTTAGAGCCACTGACTTTTCCTCAGATCTGCAGAGCATTCACCCAACTTAGACTTGGGCAGATGACCACAGCATATCTTGAAGGGGAGTATAAAGGAAGCCAAGCAGAGTAGCAGAAATGTCTCTGTGGCTGCAATCAGATTGAGGACCTAACTCACTACTTATTACTCTGTCCTCTCTATGAAAATCCCAGAGAAAGATTTTTGTCTCCCATTATTCAGCTGTATCCCAACGGTACTTCAATGGAAATAATAGTAAGACTACTCGCTGATACACAGCTGTATCTGACGTACTCTGTTGCACAATTTGCTCTGGCAGCTAAGTTGAGGTTTCAATTTGTTAAGGTTGTCAGTTGAATACACTGACTTTGATTATATGCTATGCCATCATCCCCAGAATGGGTTTATTGACCCCTGGGGCATCCTTTTATTTTAATTGTTTTTATGTAAGTCTGCTTTTGTAAAGGCCTATGGCCAGAAACAATAAAGGTACAGTGTTTGTATTTCTTTTAGACCAACTGCAAATGAAGTGGCATTATAGGGAGTTTTTTTTCTTTGTTATTTACTTACACAGTCATATCTGTCCTTTTTCCATAAAATTCCTATCTCTTTGAACTGCATCAGCATCCCCTTTAAATTACCAAGAGCCAAAGCTGCAAGGACTGACTGTAAGTAAGGAAAAAATAATAATTAAAAAACATATTAAATCTTGAAACTCAGGCAGAAATAAATAATACTTAAATAACAGAAACAGAGACATCAAGAAAAGGCTGCTTCTGCTCTTCTTGTACTTTCTTAATATAGACCATAACATAGTCCAATCTTGCTATTCATAAACAAATTGGAAATGTTTTTTTCTTTTGTACTATAACATGGAAAATTCCCTAGCCAACATCACTAATCTTATTTTTCCATTGTAATAGGTTTATGTAACATATGGTGTGTGTATCTGTGTTGTATATTCATTAGCCATTTTGTTGAAACCCACGTTTACTTATCTGTATAATTATTATTATTTTCAGACATGGTCATGATTTTGTTTTGATTTTCTGCCATAGGCATCAAATGTCCTGAACCATTTCTGAATATCAAACCTTGTGGTTAGGAGTTTGATTCCCTGCCATGCCTCCTTGACAGGGGCTGGACTCGATGGTCCATGGGGACCCTACTAGCTCTGTTGTTCTAAGATTATGATTGATGATTATTCTCTTGCTGTGAGTTATTTCATTCCACAGAACACAGCAAGCATAATGTCAGTTCTGAATAAATGACAGGAATCCTATGACATGCTGACACTCATGTAACTCCACTTGCATAAATTTCAGAACAAATTGCCCCCAGTTAAGTAACTGGCAGGTTTTTTTGCCACTACTGTATTGCGGCAAATCATGCAACTGCCACGTGACAAGAAAAACAAACACTAGCTTCTTAAATTTTAGCATTTTAGCAATTAACTGCTGAAAGTTACAATTTTGGAGTTATGCAGGACTTCAGCAATTATGTCTGTTCACATCCATTAATGTGTTCTTCCTGCTGGTTTTTACAAAGATGTAGCTTCAGGTTAATCCTGATATTTATGTTAATGGTCATCCTTTGCCAGATTGTCACTTTAGTTTTAGACTGCAGGACAATGGAACTATTCAGAGATTCCAGATGGAAAGGATGAATCCAGTCTCTTGATCCACAACTCTCAAGAGCCTGCAATGTTGTCATACTTGACATCACTTTCTAAAGCAGGGGAGGGCATCTTGTGGTGCTCTAAACGCTGTTGGATGACCGGCTGGAATTTGTTGGACTTCTACTGTACTTCTTCCCCACTGTCTCTGCTGCACCAGGCTGAGGAGAATTATACGTAGGTGCCATCTGGAAAGCCATACATTCCTCACTCCTTGCTAAAGGGACAGCCATTCCATATAGAATATCACAGCCATACATTATGAGACTGGCTTTGTCTGGAAAATACTTGGCAATGTTAGCATTGCTTTCTGCTGAAAATAATGCTCCTTCCCATCAATGTCAGGTTCCATTTCTTGTTGAACAAGATTGATTGTAAAAGGGTACCTTCTGAAGCGGCTCCAAGAGAAAACCAATGGCCAAGATGACAATCATCACAACGATGGCTGAGAGTAATCCAGCAACCTGCATGAAAAACATCAGTTGACAGTATGTGTCCTAGGATGCATTCATTGCAAATTTAATTGATAACCAGATCAGCAAGCTGTGAAATACCTGTGTTTTGCCTCCTGTGCTCTCCTGAACCCCAGACCTTGACAGAGATGTGCTGGCAGCAAATCCTTTGAATATACCACCAAAGATGTTGCCCACTCCAAAGGCAGTTAATTCCTTTAAAAATCAAGAAGATTTGGGTTCTTTTTCTCTTTTAGTGACCCACCAGAACAATAAGTTTACATATTTCCACTGGAAATTTGCTTAGCAGTGGCATCAGTGTATGTATTGATTGCTCACCTGGTTGGCATCTATGGGGTAATCATGCTTGATGGAGTACACTTTAGCCACAGAAAAGGCTACTGCAAAGCCAACAATTGCGATGGAGAAACCGTCACCCAAACAGCTTTGGAGAACGTTCACATCAGGTGCAGCAGGAGCCTGAAATCTGAAAAAGAAAGTGAAAATACTTTTTTAAAGCAGGGGGTGATTATGCAATTTTCTCTGCATGCTAGGAAAACAGTAACTTTCTACTTTTGTATTTTTTTTTACATATGAGGTAAGTAGAGGGTACAGTGGCTATATCTAAGAGAGTCATTCCACTGGTGCAAGGATCATGACTCTAGCAAAACCTCATCCTAGTCTATGTCCAAGGGGGAGGTCCCAAGGCAACATTTTTTTTCTAACTAATGAATACATGTACGCACTCATGAATTCTCTTGAATGTAGGGACAGTGCAGGAAATGCACTGTGGACAGTAATGCAGGGCAGTACACTAGCACATGCATATGCTGCCTCTTGCACAACTGGTTAATCCAGCAGAAGTTCATGAATACACTTTTTTCACTGGCATCTTGGATTTAAACAGTGGTGTACCTGACTGGAATGTGTAATTCTAGAGGGTAGAGATAAATTTTACATATCATTGAAGACTCATCTAGACCACTGGTTCTTAACCTTGGGTTACTCAGGAGTTTTGGACTGCAACTCCCAGAAGCCTTCACCACCAGCTGTCCTGACGGGTTTCTGGGAGTTGCAGTTCAAAAGCATCTGAGTAACAAAGGTTAAGAACCACTGATCTAGACAGTGGCTTTACACCTGCATTTAATGGTGGCTGAGCTGTTTTGGAGGAGGTGGCCTTGCTTTCAGCAGCCAGTGGGGTATACAATTGTTTGCCTCCTCATGTAAAAGTGGTGGTGGAGGATAGTAGCACATACGTTTATCATGAGGGAGCACATACATTCCTAGTGTGGTTGTTTGTGGTGGTGTCCAGTAAGATTAATATATCCTGTCATTGTCTGTAACAATGATTTCCGACTTGGGGTCCACATACCCTCAGAGGCATGAACCAGAACATTTAGGGGTTATGAAAAAAAATTAATTATGGCAGGAAAAGGCACATGTGTCAGCAGTGTAAGACAGAATACAAGTCAAAAGTTGTGAAATTAATTGAACATTATGATAATGGCGGAATGGGTTTTCTTTGTTATTTAACCTCAAGAAAAACCCTCTTCTGCCACTTTGTTATTTTGGTGAATGATGGAGAGTCCCTCCGTAAACAATATGTTGCGAACATACTATTACAGCAGTCATGCTTGGCAGCACACCTCTCCCAGGCTCAGCTTTCACTCTTCTCCACTTCATGAACATTCAAGGGCTGTTGTGGCAGTACCAATGTACATATGAGTCCAGCAACTGGACTCTTATGTACATTTGCTCATATTAGCTACATGTTTGTTGGGGTCCAACAAGCTACTGAGGAAGAGCGGAGGACAAGTACAAATAGCTCCAGAGCTAACAAAGTGGTTGGGCCAAGGCTGAAAGGATGCTCAGCTGTGGACATGCCTGAAAGTGAAAGGAAAGTTTGATGCTGCAAAGAAAAATAGTGGACGGGAATGGGCGAATTCAATTCAGATGATTACCATATCTACTATTGTGGGCAAGAATCCCATAGAAGAAATGGAATAGCCCTCATAGTCAACAAAAGAGTGAGAAAAGCTGTACTGGGATACAATCTCAAAAATGATAGAATGATTTCAATACGAATCCAAGGCAGACCTTTCAACATCACAGTAATCCAAGTTTATGCACCAACCACCAATGCTGAGGAGACTGAAAGTGACCAATTCTATGAAGACTTACAACACCTTCTAGAACTGACACCAAAGAAAGATGTTCTTCTCATTCTAGGGGATTGGAATGCTAAAGTAGGGAGTCAAGAGATAAAAGGAACAACAGGGAAGTTTGGCCTTGGAGTTCAAAAATGAAGCAAAGCAAAAGCTAATAGAGTTTTGTCAGGAGAACAAGCTGGTCATCACAAGCACTCTTTTTCAACGACACAAGAGGCGACTCTATACATGGACATCACCAGATGGGCAATACCAAAATCAGATTGATTATGTTCTCCGCAGCCAAAGATGGAGAGGCTCTATACAGTCAGCAAAAACAAGACCTGGAGCTGATTGTGGCTCTGATCAACAGCTTCTTATAGCAAAGCTCAAGCTTAAACTGAAGAAAGTAGGAAAAACCATGGGGCTAGTCAGGTATAATCTGAACCAAATCCCTTATGAATACACAGTGGAAGTGCAGAACAGATTTAAGGAACTAGATTTGGTGGACAGAGTGCTTGAAGAACTATGGATGGAGGATCGTAACCTTGTACAGGAGGCAGCAACAAAAACCATCCCAAAGAGAACAAAATGCAAAAAAGCAAAGTGACTGTCCAACGAGGCCTTATAAATAGCAGAGAAAAGAAGGGAAACAAAATGCAAGGGAGATAGGGAAAGTTACAGAAACTTGAATGCTGACTTCCAAAGAATAGCAAGGAGAGACAAGAGGGCCTTCTTAAATGAACAGTGTAAAGATATAGAGGAAAATAATAGAAAGGGAAAAACCAGAGATCTGTTCAAGAAAATTGCAGATATTAAAGGAACCTTTTGTGCAAAGGTGGACATGATAAAGGACAAAAATTGAAGGGACCTCACAGAAGCAGAAGACATCAAGAAGAGGTGGCAAGAATATACAGAGGAATTATATCATAAATTATGCCACTGACTTTTATAAGTAGGATATATTTATTTACCCTTTCTCCAGGTTTCCAATGATGGCTACATTGAATTTTTCTTTGAAATTGAGGCCATAGGATAAGCCAGCTGCTATGACTGTCTGGAAGGAAACACAGTAATGTTTGTAAAATTTCAGTGGATTGTTTCTCCATTAGCCTTCACTCACTTGTCAGTAGTTGACATATCATATATATTCAATCATTTATTTATCCTATTTATTTTATAAATAAATATTTCTTTTATAAATTTCATCAGATTTATCTTTGTAACATGAAATATTAGCTATTAATATTTAAGCCACCAGCAAATGCCCATAAACTGGCAAATCCACCCAATGTAATTTTCTCCCAGATAGCTTGGTATTGAAATGAGAAAAGATCAAGAATTGGAAATTTTCGTTTTGGACTACAACTCTCCAAACCTGCAACCAGCATGTGTATGGAGATTCCGGGAGCTGTAGGGTTTTTTTAAAAAGCTAATTTTCCATGCTCTGGGAAAGTAGTCTAGCCCAGTAAGAACAGCTGAAGACTATTTTTGGAAGGGATCTTGTCAATAATAGACACACAAATGTTTTAGAGCCTTCCTTGTTAGCTCCAGTATAATCTCGTTCTAGATGAGCTGGACTTCCTGATAAGATAATTTGATACAGTTTCCCATGAAGAAGCACCAAAAGTTATGATTACACATTGTTATTTTTATGTATTACAGACTTGTTTTTGCTCAAAGTGGAAAACACCACATTGTGCCCGTGGCTAGACCAAATTGTGTGTGAGTGTGATTTTAATAAAGGAATGGAAAAATACTTACCACAATGAGTTCAATGGGGATAGGTGCTGGAAGCTTTGCTTTGTAACGCTCATTAAGTTCCTTGACCGCAAATACAATTATTAAGATGATGAGCGAGGTGACGAGGTCTGCAATATTTGTGTCCCTGATCTGCCCAAATAAATCTCTAAGGATCTGTTACACAACAAAAGAATGAATGAGGACTCTTACAAGATGTTGCAAAGATTGTTGCTATCACCATATACATAGCATCTCCACATCTAATTTTGAGTAGTATTCAAGGAATAACGGTAGTGGCTTTTTATCCACATAAGGACAAGAGCTGGTAAGAAGCAGCGGTAAAGGTGCCTGCTTAGCGCTATGGTAGAAACCCTACATTCAAATCCTGAATCATCTGGGAAGCTCATTAGGCGATCCTCTACTAGTTCTGTTCTCTTCCTTCATTTAAGCTTTCTGGACCTGCAAGGCTTGGAGAAAGTATACTTGTCCTTGGAATAAAGGTGGCGGGTATAATGAATAAATATATGAAAAAGACTGGGTAAGGAAGGTAAAAAAAAATTGGAACCTACTGTGAGATGCAGAGAAACAATAAGCATAAATTGCAAAGAGCACTTGGGGTGATTTTTCAAATATCCAAAGATGGGAAAAGATATTTTATACCAGGAGTCATAATCTCAAAAAAGTTATTTTCCTCATCTCTGTTAATAATAATAATTATGTGCAATCAAGTCAGTTCTGACTTATGACAACCCTTTTCTCAGGATTTTCCAGGTAGAGAATACACATAAGTGGTTTTCCATTCCCTTCTTCTGGGGGAAGATCTGCTACTCTACAGCTTGTCCAAGACCGTACAGGCTGGCTGTACTCATAGGAGGCCCACTGGGGAATTGAACTCCCAACTTCTGGCTCCAGAGCCAAATGTCTAAACCACTGAGCAATCCAGCCCAGCTCATCTCTGTTAGCACCACACAATAACCAGAGAGAGATGGAGATGCCTTAAGGAGTCATCACGTTTTTTCAGGCTTCAAAAACTTACCCATATAATTCCCAGTGGTGTATTATATCCAGGAATTGGAAGTTGAAAAATGAATTTCAGCTGGGACATTACTACATGGATAGCTGCAGCTGTGGTGAATCCACTTATTAACGACTGAGATAAATAAATAACTACAAAACCAATCCGTAAAATACCCAACAGCAGCTGAAATGCAAATAAACAAATTATATACATATATATGTATGTATGTATTCCAAGTCATTATGCAGAATTCATGACAGCGGCAACTGAAATTATGCACAATTTCCCCCAGTAAATACCCTGGATCCTCATTTGGCTGGGTATGAAAACCAGGAAATGCTTGGCTAAATAGGAAAATTTTTCACAGGCAGCAGCTTTAAGATTAGTGCCTGCCATTTTTCAGGAGGGATGGTATTTTGAATGTGAGGGTGGGAACAAAAAGTATTTCCCTGTGGTTGCTGCCTGCTGTATCCATGCAGGTTGGGGGAGATGATAAGTTGAAGCCCCCCCCAATAACTCTCCTTAGCTATTGACACAACAAGCAGATGGCCTTACTTACTGCCAATCTTTAGTGAATGAGAATCTTGACAGGGGAACAGAAGAGCAAAGAAAAGGCAACTGTGCTGGTCTCCTATATTGGGCTGATTCCTGCTGGGATTCCTCTAGTGCAGTGCTTCCCGACCTTGGGTCTCCTGATGTTCTTGGACTACAACTCCCAGAAATCCTGACCAGCACAGCTAGCGGCGAAAGCTTCTGGGGATTGTAGTCCAAGAACATCTGGGGACCCAAGGTTAGAAACCTTTGCTCTAATGTAAAGCCTCCCCACAGAACATGCTGTCTCCAGCCTGCAGCTGTACAAGGTGGAGACTGCCCCAGTTCAAATCAATAGAGCTTGCTGCTTGTATGATGGGGTGGTGAATAATGAAAAAATGGTGGAAAAGGGGAATTGTGGGTGGAAAGGATCAGTGTGCACGGAGTAAAAACGAACTGGATTTCGGCCAGTTAATAATCACAGAAACCTTCACAGTCTATTTCATGTTACCCACAACTAGGAGGGCAAAACCATTTTCCTGCATTGCATTGCACATGAAAGCAGTAATATTTCAATCCTCATTATCTAATATGTTGATAAATGTCGTTGTCTCTGACATTGGATGTACAGCGGCAGTGATATGCATTAGCAGCATTTAGGTACTATGGGAGCATAGTAGAAGAATTTAAACAACTGCCTTGACATGAAAACAGATAGTTGGCTAGGAGAACATTTAACTTGCCCATTCACTAATCTTCACAGTATGAATAGGAAATTCTGGCTTTTCAGAAGTTTGGGGTTACAACTCTGACAATCTCTGATCTTTGACCATACTAATCAGAACCTCCGGGCTAGTTGAAGTCCAAAACATTTCCCATGCTGGCTAGGACAGACGGGAGTGGCAATCCAGTGATATCTGGAAAACCACTCATTCCCCAGCCCTGATTATAGACACTTTGGAAATCAACACCTACCTGAATGATGCCAGCAAGCACAGTCACAGATGCCGCCACCACCACTCTTTGTTGATCTATCAAGGAGCTGTTTGTCAGCGTGCTGTTGTTCACAGGTTGATCTGGGACTATCCTTAAAACTGCTTCTCCCACCATTAAGCTCAGGACAGGAAAGGGACCTGTGTGACATTAGCGTTGAATAAGGAATCATTACTGCTCAGCTGAGGAGGTTTTGTCAACAGAAGAAACTTGAATCATTCATCTTTAACTGGGACAGTGAGAGAAGATAAAGATTGTCCCCCTCCCTTGCTGGCCCTCTCATTAAGGTGTTCTTCAAGCATTCAAATCCTGTAAGGTTCTTTATTCTGAGGTGTGCAACCTGTGCAGTGACCTCAGTTCTTCAACTGCCAGTTCTAGCCCAGCCAAAATGGCGTCAGCCCTACACCCGAGGGCAGTATTGGCACTTTCCAGGGGTCTTCAGAAGTACAGCCATTGGGTGCCCCACCAAGCTGAGCATGACCAGTGGCCTTTAAATACTGGTTAACTGTGGGAAGAGGTGAAGGCTATGAAACAGGATAATGGACTGGAGTATCCTGAAACAGAGCAGGGTTTCAACTAGCCAACCAAGCATGGGAAAACTCTTCACCAAACCATTTTGCTACAGGCCCTGTTTCTCCGTTCTCTTTTATCTGTGAGCTAAAAACACAGGCTTGGCAAAGAAAAGAAACTTTCAGAGTATTTTTACAAAGGTCAGTTGAATTAAGATCTGTTCACAACAGCCCTATGGTGAATGTGTGGGAAGGAGCTTCAGGTTTGCCTGCCTTTCCTTCTCCCATACAGAACACTGAGTAAGCGAGGCTTGCTCAAGTAATCTGGTTGCACATTTTTGCTGTTGTTACAATCACACAAAAAGGACCAACTGGCATAGATGTGTGTGCATGTAAACTCTGCAGGTTTTAGGTGCAGGGTCAGGACGTGCATCAGCTTGAGATTCATTTCTGCATGCCCCACGTATATACTGCATGTCAGAGGCATGCATGAATGGGCCCTTAGCCAAATCAGCCTTGATTGAATGATATATACAGATGTGTACTAGAACTCATTTTTTAGAACTACTATTCCTTGAACTCCCACCCCACCCCAGTGGCCATGCTTGCTTGGTTCTTTAGAAATGGCTGTACAAAAAGAAAAAGAAGAAGAAAAAGTGGAAATAACTTGTCTAAACTCTGATAAATCCATAAACTTAAATCCACGTGATTTAGGATTGTGCTAGGCAGAGCATTTGTCCTCCATAAAGAATCTGATTTATCACTGATCATATCGGGATTGTTGTTTTAAGATGATGAGGATGATGAAGATGAAAATCCCCACAGTTGTAGCACCCCAGTTGGAAGCTCTCGATTTGCAATCATTTGGCAGATGCCAATGTAAGGTTAATTAAAATCCTGGAGGAGATACCAGAGATAAGGAGAATGTTGGCATGATATTCAACTTACCAACTGATATATGTCTGGAAGTACCGAAAAAGAAATATATAACCACTGGAAAAAAGGCTGAATACAGTCCATAGCCTGGAGAGATATTTACCAGCAAAGCAAAGGCTAAGCCTGAAATTAAGGGGAAGACAATGTATGTGTCACATTAGATAATACATTATATACCAGCATATGAGAACCTCTTACATGCTATGTAATTTGCCAGATTTTTAAAATGTAAAATGCCTACCTTGCAAAACAGCTACCAGTCCTGTGCTAATCCCTGAGACAATGTCACTGAGAATCCAGTCCTTAAAGTGATATGCAGGCAGCCAAGAAATAATGGGGAAAAAATTAAAAGCAATTTTCTTGGCTTTTTGTGGCGTGCAGCTGAAAAGACAACAATTTAATTATGAGACCTTTTTAATATTTACAATGAATCAGGCAACAATTGAAGTATTGTTACTTCTGGTGGTATCTAATGAAGGAATAATAAATACCTACATGATAAAAAAAGATATTTCATTTAGATGTATATTACTGCTAAAGACTACCTTTATTGATTTTTCATCAGGAATGTCAGTTGAGGTAACGTGCAAATTTTGATTTGTACAGGCAAAGTCTAATAGATAATTGTTTCATTTATTGGCTTATTACTTCCTTTCATAGCAGATGGGCATCATGTGGAATGTCAACAAAATTGTAGCAAAAACTGGAAAGAAATGGGGGTATCAGCATGATTTGGAGAACCTCAAAGTTTGCAGAAATTTTTTGAAAGAGACTTTATAGGAAAAGTATGAAAGAGCTCTGTGTGGACTGAGCATACGGAATGTCTATTTCAGAGCACAGAAAAAACTGAGGAGAGGCTATTTTATTGCAGGCAGCAGGTCCCGCTGGTTTATTATTATTTAAAACTTTCTTCACATCAAAAACTTGCAAGATGGCTTAGAATAATTAAAGAAACCCATCTGGAGCATATGAACTGTCCATGATAAGGAAATAGAACAAGAGGCTTGAATTTGCCCAACTGTTCTGGAAAGGGTCACTATAAGTCCAACTGACTTGATGGCACATTATTATTATTACTTTATTAATTTACTAAAAGCATTTCTGCCCCATTTTGGCACCTAGACACGGCAGACTGAGTAGGCACGCTTATAACCTCATTACCATTTTCTGTGCCTTGGTCACATGCATATCATTTTTAAAAAGCACAATTTTGTTCAAAGTCTGATTACTGTCACATTCTGCTCTGTGGGAACAGGAGGAGAAGCAGTTATGAATGAAGTTTGCAGTTGAATATATCAAAGAATAGGATGATGAGTGAGAATATTCTACAAATGGGATGACACCTCTGATATGTTTTGCTGAGTTCTGTGTTTATCTCTTGAATTTAATATATTAAAATAGATATTAATAACATTTAAATGTAATATGAAAATGGAATAGAGCCAACAATTTAAAGAAAATACACACCCATTTTACCATGCTTGCTTAACTCTATTTGAAAAAACACCCCAATTTTATAATGCTTCCAGAAAAATTTTTAGGTAGGGGTTTTAACAATTTGTCACAGAAAATGAGCATTTCAGCAGCTGGGCAGATGTCAGGTGTAGTTCCATAATTCCCTGTTTGAGCATGACCCAAAGATGGTCATTAAATTGTTTTAGAGATTGCTGTGAAGCAGAAGAGAGTGGAAACTCCAAAACAGGTTGCCTCAGACCTTTTTATGAGCCAAACCCACATCACAAAATAAACTTGGAAGTTGGTCTCTTCAGGTGGGTTGGCTATGCCCTGTGGATGCAGATAGCTCACAGAGAACATTATGAGACCAGGATAAATTTGAGCAACTGGCAATAGACCTCATTCTTTCTCTTTCTTTCTTTCTTTCTTTCTTTCTTTCTTTCTTTCTTTCTTTCTTTCTTTCTTTCTTTCTTTCTTTCTTTCTTTCTTTCTTTCTTTCTTTCTACTAGGAAACAATGGAACTGATAATCTTTGTAAGAAATTACCAGAGAAGCATCCTACGTGACAAAAAAATAATGAGGAACACATTGCACAAAATTATTTGCTTGTTTATAATATCAATGATTACAAAAGAACGTATCTTACCTAATGCATAATCTGAGGTGATCCAGAAAAGTTTTATGATATCTATGCACTTTCTCATGTTCTTCATCAAAAGAGAGTTCTGAATATACTGGCCTGGCCACAACATACTGATTGCCTACGGGTTCAACCATTTCTCTGGAAAAGATGTCCTTATGAGAGCCTTCTGAGACCTGTTCACTTGTAGCCCTGAGGATAAATAACAGACTGTGCTTTTAAAATAAGGCAGTATCATGAAATCCACAGATGAGTGAGCTCTAAATTGAGCATTACCACCTTTGAAGATCAAACAAACCAGAATTGTGGCATTAGAACCTAGTTTTGATGATGATTTTCCTCCTCCTTCCTCCTCACATGCTAAAATGGTACATCTTTGTTGGGGGGAAACACTAATTTTACATCAGCAAGAGATCTAAAAATGCTGAAGGCTGGCTACTTATCTCTGAGTCAATAACTTGAAGATAAACATTATCCCATTTCCCCCCTATAAATTCCTATTACAATGGTGACAAAAAAAAAAGCAGTATTTACTTCTGGGAAATGCTGACTGCTTAGTTAATTAAAACTTACTACTTCATGGTTAATGATGGACCAAGGCCAAACATTGATGTTTAATTCTCTTTATACTTCTGAGATGTCAGTAATCTGAGTCCAAATTTTCTGTTTCTAGAGAATTACAGGAATGAGGACCACAGGATTACTTCCTTTGCTTGGTTTATGGAAATTAAGAATCCAAACATGAGGAAGAAATAATTTGTCATACTAAGTATAAACTTACTGGCTCCATCTATTCCTTCATCATTAATCACTGCTCTTAATTTAAATACTATATATTTCCATGATTTCCATAAATTTGAATCAAGGTCTTCTGTACAATACTTGGTACTGCAGCTTTGTTTCAAATGTGAGAGACAACAATGAGCCAAAAATACTGAAAACATATTTTGGATCAAATCCCACTTTAAATTAACTTTGGAAATATATTCCTTACATTTTCATCTGCAGAACAAGGTTCTTTAACCTTCCTTTCGAATGCAGGTTACTTCTACTTGAATTTTTGGTTTTCTCTTTGAAAATGTTGTAACAAAAAACTATTTAGTGGTATATCCTTACTCAACACTTCTGTTCATTTGCTCTATTTGCTTAGCTCTAGTTTATGCTTGAAAAGGAAAAAAATAAACCAGACCTCTTTATATTTTGTTAATTATTTTTAACACTGTTTCCTCACTTCATTTTTTATTTACTCTCTTTATTGCCCTAAGGTATTTTGGTTGCTTTCTGACATTTAGCCAGTACTGGATTCTGATGTCCTTTAACTTAAAAAGAGAGGGTGGATTTGATAGTAGTTTTGTTCTTCTGTTCCACTGCAGAGCTGGCCCAACCATTAGGCAAAATAAATTTGCCTCAAGCAGCAAAGGCTGAGAGGCAGGGAATGGGCAAAGCTATCTGTGCTGCTCAGCTTGCGCTGTTGCCCTTAAGCTAGCCTCCTGCCCTCTGGTGCACTGGACAGTTGCTGTCCTAATGGCAGTGAAGAAGTGAGATTTAACCACCATTCTGGCCAGCTTTGGGGCACAAATAGGAGAAGACACCATCTTATCCTTTGCCTTCAGCAATGAAATTGTGTGGGTCAGCTGTGTTCCTATACTAAGTATGGCAATCCATTCATGTATTTCCACTCAGTGGCAAAAAATGGCCAATATATTTTGAGGACTCATTTAGATTTTTTTCTCTCTGCCTTTTGTAATATGAGAACCTCTTGATTAAGAAATAAGCTAAATGCACAACTGCATGCAACAAAGATCACAGTACCTGTGCCCTGACAATGGTCAGTCACTTTGACCAACCATGATTTGTTGATGTTCCTTTCCATCTGGAAGGAGAAAGGCACATTAAAGCAGATATAACACCTTACTATTTTCATCCAAGACCTATATCAAGTTCTGGCATAAAGGATTTTTCCCTAGTTGCTGTTTCAAAAGAAATTGTGGGAAATATCTACTAACTCTAAGGTATGACCCATCAAGTAAGTAGCATTTTCTGTCCCTTGGAGGCTTGATCGGTATCAACATTGGCATCATTTTGGTGCCAAGACAAAGCACATCCCACCTTTTGGGTGTTGCGTATCATGGCCTGCACAGGATTTAATCCATTGGTGTTCATGTTTTAATGTTGTGCTTTCAACGATTTGATTTTAAATTATCTTATATATCTTATGTTTTAAAATTGTTTTATACAGCTCTGTAACCTGCCTTGAGATCCTATGACAGAGTAGGAAACAAACAAACAAACAAATGCAGTTGTGTGTCTTTGTTTCTTGTTTCACAGAACTCAGATTTCATATCCCAACTTCTCTTCCCCTTTTCTACATTTTTAACATCTGAGGACAAGCCAAGTATGTTTCTGAAAAGCAGGTGGTAGGTTTTGTTCCCTACGTTAAATTTCAGAGAGAGAAAAAAAATGCTATGTTCAAATGAATGCTCTCATCCTAGTATATTTTCCTTGCAGTGAGAACCTTGTGAGTTTGATGGTGTTAACTTTCAAGCGAGAAAGCTGATGACTGCAGGCATTTTAATTTCCACTTAATGACTCAGCTGCAAAATATATGTACAAAGTGCCCTTCTTTCAAAACCAGTGGCGTTGTATAGATATTGTAGCAAGGCACTTATCTTCGTGTGCATTTGCTCTCCCCCATTTCACTGCCCCCTTCCCTAATTATGGCGTTATTGGCCTTTTCCCTTTGATCAGAAGACCTGAATGTCTTTTAGTTAGAAAAGCAATTTCTCCCATGAAAAGGGTTTTGTTACAGAAGGAAGGGCAGACCCAAGGATCTGGGTTTGTTTTGCTGTCCCAAGTCATTTAAAAATTTGTTTTCCCTTCTCTGTTATCATATGTTGGGCAGAATAATGATTGCCCATAATATGATCCTATACTCAGAGGCAATTCCACTGACCTCACTGGGCTGATTGTTTCAGCCCCAGTGAATTCAGTGGTGGATATAGGATGTCATCCTAAAAGTTCAAAGGCTGATAGTGATCATTTAGTTAACAGTAACTGTTATTAATATTTGCCACTGGATTACATCCTCTCTGTTATAGTGCATTTACACTGTTGGCAGCTGAGAGAAGGGACGTGGTGGCACTGCAGGTTAAACCCTAGAAGCCTCTGTGCTGCAAGGTCAGAAGGCCAGCAATCATAAGATCAAATCCACGTGACGGAGTGAGCTCCCGATGCTTGTCCCAACTCCTGCCAACCTAGCAGTTCAAAAGCATGTAAAAATATAAGTAGATAAATAGGTACCACCTGAGTAGGAAGGTAACAGTTTTCCGTGTCTAGTCACGCTGGCCACGTGACTTCAGACAAATGCCGGCTCTATGGCTTAGAAATGTGGATGAGCACCGCGCCCTAGAGTTGGACACAACCGGACTAAAAGTCAAGGGGAACCTTTACCAGCTAAGGGGGACTAGAAAGCAATGGATTTCACTCACTTAATTGTAGAAGTATCACCTAGGCTGCCCTGATAAGCTGCCAAAACAGCAATGCAAACTGACCATGCGTTCTCCAAACCATGGCCTCAGGACCGAATTAGACACTGCAAGTAGCGCCTCATTAGAAGCTAATGATGACTCTCTTCCACTGAGCTGCCTGAAAAATTAGGCTGACAGTGTACTGTCTATAGAGTCAAAATTCAATTTCGGTGCCACTGCAATGATGCCGTCACCTGTGTTATGTCCAGCTTCCTTCCACAGCTGGGCCAGCTCTGCTTTCGGAAGCACAACCACAGGAGAAAGGATAACAATTGCTCCTCGAAGAACAGATTCTAAAAATGGCACAGAGCAAATCATTTTGTATTCTGAGCTGTAGGCCGTGGTACTGAAATTCTAGCCTATGGAGTGAGCCGTCTGTGACCACCACAAGACCCTTTATTGCTCACCATTGGCTACATGAGGTAGAACGGACCTAAAGAATCAGTACATCCATTCATCCTGATTATCTGGACATTTTAGACATACTGCAATGCCACTAGGATAAATGAAGCTGCTTCAAATGTAGCTGTTACATGGGTATCATTTTTTAAAATATGAGGCACACCTTGTTTTAATCTACTCTGTAATTACACATTTGTATAGAATATAGAGCCCATTTGTGTCTTACCTGAGGGATCTTCAGTGTCACTCGGTAGAAACATACAGTCAGGTGCAGTGTAAAGAGTGAATGTGTCCATTTAAATACCTCCCCTGTTTTATATAGCTTTGGAAGGCATCAGCTTTAATAGTTAACTTCCATTAACTTTTACAGGGTTATGAAGATTTCATTGTGGCCTTGACCATTGAGCCTGTGATCAATAAGGGCGATAAGGATCATTTCCTGAAGTTTTCTTGGAGATTGCCTAACATAGTTAAGAAAACTGCGGGTTTGCATAGGTTAATAGCAGGCGTGCAGTTAAGAACAGTAGTCAACCAAACAGGCGTATTTCAGCATCCGTGAGGCTAGAATAACAAGGAGGCTGAAAACCTGCAAGGTAAAGACTATATATGTAGCGAAAGAACCAGCTACAGCTGTGTTACTAAACCTGCCAGCTTCTTTATGATGTCTTCATTTCATATTTTCTTTATTTGTTCATATTAGAAGCACCTCAGTACAGTTAATAAATATCTCAGAAAATTTTCACCCAGAAACGGGTAACATCAATTTGAGGTAGCTAATATCACATCTCCCATAGTACCTGTTGAGGGACATAGAGTTCTCTGAGACGTGTGTAAAGTTGCCTGTTCCTCTCCACACTTGTGAAGGACTTTGTCAATGCAAAAGCTCCATTTTCTGATGTTCACCTTGGTTCTGCCAAATCCAGTTCATGCTGAGGCACCGTGGGATATAAAATTATAGCATCACCCTCTGTCACAAATATTTAGTTATTAAACTTGTATCCCTCTTTGCAATGAATTAAAGCATCATCCATTGTCCCCCTCATGTTATAAACTTTTTAATAACATTTACTACTCATTATAACTATTTATGAACTACTGAATAGTTCAGTGGTTTAGTTGCCTGGCTGTGGGGTTCAATTCCCTGCTGTGCCTCCTTGATAGAGATGGGACCCTAGATTTGACAATCCATAGGGTCCCTTCCAGTTGTGCAGTCTTAAGAAGATGATGATATTTGACTTATATACTATGTTCCTCCTAGGAGCAGAGTTACAGCTCACAAAGAAGTTAAAGGTTTACATATCAAAACAGGTAAAAAGAGATAGAGATGGAAACAGACAAAAAAAAGCTATCATGCTAATCATCATCATCACATGTGCCATCAAGTCAATTCTGAGTTATGGTGACCTATTTCAGGGTTTTCCAGGTAGAGAATACTTAGAAATGGTTTACCATTCCCTTCTTCTGGGGGCACCCTGGGATTGTGCAGCTTGCCCAAGGCCTCACAGGCTGGCTCTGTTCACAGGAGACACAGTGAAGAATCAAAGTCCCAACCTCTGTATACCAAAACACTGAGCTATTCAGCCACCCATAATGCTAAAACACAGTTAAATAACTTACAGCATTAATGAGCCATATGTGTTAAAATATTTTAAACAATTCTACTTCAATGATTGTTGTAGGTTTTTTGGGCTGTTTGGCCACATGCTCACTCAACTATTTCCTACAACACCTCACTGCCACTTCTTATCCTGCAACCACCTCAGTCTGCCTAATACTGGGTGGGTCAGCCTTATGAGATCTTTATCAAATTAACTCTGTGTGTATTTGTGTGGGGGGAATTCAAAGCCCAGACAGGAAGTCTGGGCTTTGAATTTCTGCTCAACCATGGAAACCTGAGGTAGGAATTGGAACTGGTACAACCATGCCTTGGCTTGCTATAAGTCAGTTCCAACTTGACAGCCCAAAACACACAAACATGACCTTACAGCAATTTCACGAACACACATCCAATCTTGAGGAGAAACACTTAAGAGTTTCAGAGTTGTTCTCAGCTGATAAAGAATGTCATCTTTATTTATTTTTCAGTTTCCATATATTGTGGGAATTTAAGCTGGGCTACTCATCCAGTTGAAGAACATGGAAGAACCAATATGCCTGAGACCCTCTAGCTTTATCAGAATACAGCTGGCATAGAAATATTCCTTCCTCTGCCTCTGGGAAGACCATCAATGATATTGCTTGACAGAATCTCCTTGCAATGGAGAACAAGATTATCCTGCCAATTTGTGCAATTAAGCATGGAAGAACAGCCCGGAACGAAGTGAACAATAGGCTAAATTGGCAGTCTGATCACCTTTTCTGTAAGTCAGTGTTGGAGCAGCAGCTAAAATTGATGCTAAATTCTTAGCACGAATTTTGCTTTCAGAGAGTGTAAACTTTTTTCAGATGAATGTCTTTATGTATATATTGTATTTTACAGTGTGTGGTGTATAATGCATATCTCTTTTCAAATAAAAATGAATATGCCATGTGGTCCTTGTACACAATCCAAAGAAAAGCGTGATAGCTTTATTAGATCACTAAAATTTCACAAGCAGAAACAGCCTGTTTGATTCCTGCAGGAGTTTTCCTCAGTTTTCCCCACTTTATTGAGGTGGGGCTGGTGAAGAACGAACATAAATGTTCCAAAAATTTGGGTCATATGTGCCGGCCAATTCCTGAGTTTCAAGTTCTGAAATGGGGGATGCAGAAGCAGCTCAAATATGTTTCAAATTTCACCTTGGGTGATATGGATTAGAATGTCACTCACAAGAAATAAATGTGTTCCCAATGAAATCAATAATTCAGTTATTTACTAAGTTTATTTAGTAAATGAAATCCAATCCTTTGCTGGGAGGTTTTAAATTTTATTTATATACATATTTTGCAGTATGCTGATGTTATATTATTCATTACTTAACAATTATTCCATAACTTTATAATATTTGTCACCCTTCATTCTGCTTGAGGGAATTTTAGCCTTTCTGCTTGTTCAGCTTTATTAGTCCAACCAGCCCTGAACTTACACAGAAATAATGCAATTGAAATTTACTAGTTGAAAGAGAATAGCTGTATGGTACTAAAGTATTTAAGGAACTGGATGCAGAACTCTCAGAACCACTGTATATTATTTTCTTGAACTCATAGAGGAGGGGTGAGGTACCAGATGATCAGAAGAAGGCTAATCTTGTCTCTATTTTCAAAAAGGGTAAGAAGGAGGAACCTAGAAACTACAAACCAGTCAGCCTGACATGAATCTGAGGGAAAACTGGGGAACAGATTATAAAGCAGCCACTCTGCAAGCACCTTGAAAATCAGGCAATAATAACTCGAAGCCAACATGGATTTGTTAAGAACAACACCTGCCAGACTAATCTGATCTCATTTTTTGATCTGGTAACCTTCCTTGTAGACATTGGGGATGCTGTAGATATATCCTGACTTCTGAAAAACAAAGTGTCCAATGATATTCTAATTAGCAAGCTAACTAGATGTGGGATGGACTATCAGGTGGATACAGAGTTGGTTACAGAATCATACTCAGAGGATGATGGTTAATGGCTTGTTGTCAAACTGGGAAGAGGTAATAAGTGGGGTAGCACAAGGCTTAGTCCTGGGCTTGGGGATCTTCCACATTTTAAATAATTTGGATGGGGTATGAGTGCAAATACAGTAATGCTGATCAGATTTGCAGATGGCACAAAATTGGTTGAAATAGCTAATATCCTGAAAGACAGAAAGAAATTTCAAAAAGATTTTGGCAAGCTCACTGGGATGAAAACAGCAGAATGAAATTTAGCAGGAATAAGTGCAAAGTTCTACATCTAGGAAAAAGAAATCAAGTGTACAGTTACAAGATGGGAGACACTTGGCTCTGTAATGCTATGAGTGAGAAGGATCTTGAAATTGTTGTAGATCACAAGCTAAATAAGAGCCCAACTGCGCAATGAGACTGAAAAAAAGACAAATGCTATCTTAGGCTGGATTAACAGAAGTACAGTCTCCAAATCTTGTGAAGTACTACTTCTCCTCCAGTACCTCATCTTGAGTATTTTGTCTGATTCTGGACACTACACTTTTAAAAAGACCCAGACAAACTGGGACAAATTCAGAGGAGAGTAACAAGGATGATGAGGGACTGGAAACCAAGTCTCGTCCTGTTAGGAAAGACTGAAGTCATGTTTTGTTGTTGTTTAGTCGTTTAGTCGTGTCCGACTCTGCGTGACCCCATGGACCAAAGCACGCCAGGCCGTCCTGTCTTCCACTGCCTCCCGAAGCTGGGCCAAATTCATGTTGGTCGCTTTGATGACACTGTCCAACCATCTCGTCCTCTGTTGTCCCCTTCTCCTCTTGCCCTCACACTTTCCTAACATCAGGGTCTTTTCTAGGATGTCCTCTCTTCTCCTGAGATGGCCAAAGTATTGGAGCTTCAGCTTCAGGATCTGTCTTTCCAGTGAGCACTCAAGGTTCATTTCCTTCAAAATGGATAGGTTTGTTCTTTTTGGAGTCCAGGGGACTCTCAAGAGTCTCCTCCAGCACCATAATTCAGAAGCATCAGTTCTTCGGTGGTCAGCCTTCTTTATGGTCCAGCTGTCACTTCTGTACATCACTGCTGGAAAAACCATAGCTTTGACTATGCGGACCTTTGTTAGAAAGGTGATGTCTCTGCTTTTTAAGATGCTGTCGAGATTTGTCATCGCTTTCCCTCCAAGAAGAAGTTGTCTTTTAATTTCAGGGCTGCTGTCACCATCTGCAGTGATCATGGAGCCCAAGAAAGTAAAATCTGTCACTACCTCCATATCTTCTCCTTCTATTTTCCACGAGGTGATGGGACCAGTGGCCATGATCTTAGGGTTTTGGGTTTTTTTTTTGATGTTGTGTTTCAGACCGTTTTTTTGCACTCTCCTCTTTCACCCTAATTACATGGTTCTTTAATTCCTCCTCACTTTCTGCCATCAGAGTGCTATCATTTGCATATCGGAGGTTGTTGATATTTCTTCCAGCAATCTCAATTCCAGTTTGGGATTCCTCCAGTCCAGCCTTTCGCATGATGTATTTTGCATATAAGTTAAATAAGCCGGGGGACAATATACAGCCTTGTCGTACTCCTTTCCCAA